CAGGAGCGGGGCCGCCGCCCTGGCGCTGCCGGGCTGCCTGCTCTACACGCGGACCGGCTCGGCGCCGCACCTCACCCGCGACACCCTGCAGGCGGTCGGCGGCGTCCCCGCCGTGGCCCAGCTCAGCCTGTCCGCGCTGTGAGTACCGGGGAGGGGGTGTGGGTGTGTGTCTGCGGGCCCCCCGCAACGCTGCCGGGGGGCAGGCGGGCTTCTCGCTTCCCCGGGCGCAAGGCAAAATGTCCAAGTCGATTGCCCCGAGGCGAAGGGAGGTGCAGTGACTTAGTAGGAAGCAGGTAAAAGGTAAGGGAGCTACAGGGCTGCGTGATTTTTGAGCGTCTTTTGGCCAAACCCCTCTTAGCGGCTTCGCAGTCATCTTCCCAGCAGAGTAACCAGCTTTAGAAACAGCCGACTCTCAAAACTAGTTAGGTAAGAGGCAACCGAAGGGGAAGATTAACATTGTAAAGCTTGTTAGAAGCTCTCCCCTCCCTCGCTTGTCTAGTTGTTGAGTGATGCATGTTAGTAATGCTGCCCAGAAAGTCACAGTGTGACTTCATGCTCTCCAGCAAGTCAGTGGTCAGTGTGGGTAAAAGCTCTGCCTTTTTGCCACAGAATTACGAGTGCCCCGGTTTGTAAGCTGTGATCCTTGAGCTCTGTGTCTCTGGCGTTTGGTTCCGTCTGTCCCTGCTTTGCTGTCTGGTAGCTGGATGGCAACTGTCAGTGCCTAAACCAATCCAAGTTCGGACAATGCTTAAGTATGGAAACAGAAGCCTTTGTTATGAAACCACTGATATTTCTTGACAGTTGTTTGTTTAGTTAATGTGTTTCTGTATCTGGTTGCAGGGCAGAACTTCATGAGGTCCTGGAAGAATACAAAGAAGGAGCTGCAAAATTTATAGGTAAAGTGTGTGTGTATGTGCGTTTGATTGTATGTCTGGAGAGATGACACAGGTGGATCCCACTGGTGTGTTTTTAGGCAGTACAGCAGGCAGAAAGATGTAGGCATAGGCTTTCCACGTTTAGGCATTTTCTCACTCAGAGTGGTCCTAAGGAAGACTTGAAATAGTATGTTGTCACTAGTGTGGCCAGAAATCTTTCAAACAGGCTACAAAAATATGTATTGCTTTATTTCTCCTTTTCTTCACCCAGTCTTTTCCTTGGGGGCTTCAGCACTGACTGGGATGGGCTTAGCCCAAAAATTGAGACTAGAACTGAGAGAGGTTTTACTGTAGCCCCCAGTCACTGCTGCAAATGAATCTTGCCAGATGCGATTTCTGACTTATTTTGATGAGGAGAATTAGAAATTCTCATGAAAATGGCCTTCCCCATACAGCTTTTCCAATAGATACTCTCAGGAAATGTATCTGCTCAAGCTGGCTTTTTTGATTCTCATAAAATAGTTGGTTTCATCTAAAGATTTCCAACAGGAAGTCTTCATCCAGCGTGAAGACTCAACAGGCAAAGCACCCCACATCAAATCAGTCTCAGCTGGTGGACACTTCTGCCTCCGAGTTCTTCCTGTTCTGAGAAGATGTTAGGGGAAGGGCCCATGTTGGGTTTGCAGGAGTTTTGAGGAACTAAAGAAGCAGGTGGAGAAGCTCATTTTCCCACTGTTCTTTGTTCCTGTCAGTTTAGCAGTTGGACTGTACTTGCTCCCGGCATTCTTCTTCCATTTTTCCATGTTAAAGAGTCAGTTTTAGGAATAAACTCAATTTTACTTATGGATAGTCAAATGCAAAAAAACAGTCAACCTTGTCATAGCCCTCAGCTATTGCACCAAGCCTTTGTGCTCTTCATCAGTCCCTGTACTCCATTCTTGGAGCAGTTCCTGAATGAAATCTTTATCTTAACACCTTGGTGGTAAGAATGAGTAAAACAACAGTTCCTGCGTTTGTGACTGTCCTGGGTTTTTCCTCTGGTTGTTGTAACAGATCAGTAAAGGCCTGACTGCGTGCATTATGCAGCCAAGATCACTGTTGTCAGGCTCGCATGGCGAAGGAACCTGAACGCACAGTGAATGCAGAGTTAGCATCTTGTGTGAATATCTGTATCATAGCCTCTATTTATATGTGGGGATGTTCCTCAGAGAGCTGGAGGATGATCAGTCAAGTCAACAAGCTTCTCTGGGATGCTTCATTTGTCTGCGTATTTCAGGCTACACTGGGTATAGGGTAAATCCTGTTGAAGTGATGGCATGTCTTTAATTTCTATAATTGACAGACTGTTTTTTGTATATGGAATCTAGCAGACTTTGTAGGAAAAAGACCTTCTGAGTTGCTAATGCTTGTATCAAAGCTGAGGTATTTTTATGAATGTTGTATGTGTGCCAGTTCCACGTACGTTATGAATGTATAAAATAATGTAAATTACTATAATTTTTTAAAATATTTAAGCATTTTTGTCCTGTATATGGAGACCAAGCTTTTTTTTTTTTTTTTAAAAAACAAACAAAACACATCGAAAGTTTGGACATGCATTTCATTACAAAAGCAAAGTTATGGCTCGGATTTCCAAAGGAAGTTTGCACCCAAATTTCAGTAAGCTTCAACTGCTTTGGGACAACTTACTCCTTCAAGAACAATTGAAAATCTCTTTATCTGAAACTTCTTGGAGGCTTCACCAATTCCAGTGACTATCTGTGAAGAGAAAACTGTATGTCATTGAGACATACTGTCTAGCTTTCTGACATATGAAACCTCCAGTCTGGCAGGGATGATCAATTTCTCATTTGTGTAGCTGATCTGTTCTCTCACTATTTGTTGTCCTTCCTTAAAAGTTCTAGGCTCGAGGCTGTTGCTCAGTTCAGATTGTGTTAAATGTCAGATGTCTCCCATGTATCAGTGGAGTGGTCAAGTGAGTCAGCTGTTGGATCTGGCAGACTTTAGTAGCAGGAGTATTAATCAAGAAGAAACATAAATAAATCTCAAAGGAGCTATGTAGGCTGCAGAACCAAAGGGTATTGTTTGATGGCTTGTCCTAATGCTGCACTCTCCTCCCTGCAGCTAGTAAAGCTGGGGAAATAGTCTGCTGCCTTTGGTGCTGAGAGATCAAATTAACAATATTTTCTGTGTCAGAATGGATGTACTTGTGTGTGGGAGAATACCCTGTTCCCTCTTGCAAATTTACAAACCACATCTTTGCGTTAGCTTTGTTTTGGTTCATGAAACTCTGTTCTGTGTCTGTTGCTGCATTCTCAGGTATGCCAGACGCAGTGCTGTATTGCTCCCTTCACGACCCGGTCACTCCCTGTCCATCTGGCTACAACACTAACAAGGTACAGTAGCTGTAAAGACTTGAAAGGGTCTACCTGAAGTTCCCAAAAGAAAGCTGCCAGTCCTCCCCTCATCTGTGTGGGTGTGCTTAGACAGCCACCAGATTTGTTATGCTTTATCGAAAAATAAATCTTTGCACAAAGAGGAATGTCATTTACATGCTCATACCTCCAACTAAATAAAGCTGGACACTTTCTTACTTGGCAATGCATTCCCTGAACAGTTAAGTGGCAATTCAGATAAAAAGGAGAGCTCTGGACTCCCATGCTGTTGCAGTTAATATGGTAGTAAAAGAAAATACATGTGTTTTAGCTTATATTCTGTACAAGCTTCTGGTGATGCCACTGATAAGCAATAAACCTGAACCCCTATGTGTGTGTTTACAGTCTGCTACAGGCCCACAAAGGGACTGTAGGGTTAGGACTTAGTAATTCTGCAGGAAGGTGGCTCAGCAATCCAGGAGTGTGTAGTGTTGCAGATGTTTGCCCGTTCCATCCCACAGGCACGCATGTGCCCTGTGCAATCCAAACACTACCTGCTGCCTGCCACAGCTTTGGCCTGGAGGGGCCACTCCTGGCACCTGCTGAGATATGGTCAGTCCCAAGGCCTGTTTGGGGACGATCATGTTTGGTGAAAGGTCACTGAATGACATGGGATAACTACAGCCATCCAGTTATCGGTGTGTATTCTTTGCTGCTGGGAACCAGGCTGAGTCCCATCTCTCTGCAGGGAAGGAATTGCCTGAAGCTTGTCTCACCGTTGTGCAGCTATGAGGTTATAGCAGTGATCTAAACTTGGGTATTGCAGGTTTGGTTTTTTTTAAGCTGATGAAGATTTTTGTCATCTTGTTGCAAGGCCTTCTGCAGCTGGATCTGTGCTGACAAATACTTATGAAAGCTTTTTGAAAGCAATGGGACAGGAAACTCTGGATTCTATGCCAGAAAGCCTGGCACAGGCTGGATTTAAATAATCATGGAGTAAAGCTCAGTTCTCTGAGCTATTTTATTTATTAAAGCAGCTTTTTTCCTCTAGAGAGCAGAATGAAGATAACTAGACTTGATTACATTCTGTGCCCTTTGGCTCAAACAGTTCTGACTTTCCTCCATCTGCCTTCACCAGCTGTTCCTTGATGCTCTCACATAAGAGGCAGCAGGTACTAACTGGCCAACATGCTGCTGCAGAACAACGTATAGCTGCTGCGTTCCAGTTATTCTGCAGGTACTAATTTGGGATCTCCCTCCTCTGGATTTGCTTTATTTTTTTTTTAAATTGGAAATTTGCAAAAATGTTGTTACTTTGGAGACTTCTGTCTGTTTCTTTGTTACTCAAGTTTAGTGAAATTGGCTGATGAGGCCAAAAGTGATCGGGAAAGATGGATGGACAAACAACAGATGTGTGGTGTATTCATGCAATCCTTTTGTTTTTTGTGGAGACCAGACAAAAAAAAAAAATTG